AAATAATTTTATGGTTGGGTCACAAGATGAGGAACTGTATTTAAAGGGCCAGAAAGTTGCCCATGGCTGACCTAGACCCAGCTTATTCTCTTCATCTGTCTTTTCTACATCCTTCACCGCCCCGCCTCAGGCTCACCCAACCCTTGACTGAGCTGGCCCGGCACAGCTGCCCACCCGAGTGATCTTCCGAATAGCCTTTTGGTGTTCCACTCCTCAATATGAGCAGATGCCAAGGATCACCAGACATCTGAGAAAACCATCTAACACGACAGACAAAACAAAACAAAACAGAAAGGTTGGAAGGCAAAGTTGAGGAAATCTCACCCAAGCCCGCCCAGGGCACAGTGAATGAAAACAGAGAACTATAGAACAAGTCCAGGACAGGAGACCATCCTCCCTGAGTAACAGACACCCTAAGGGGGGAGTCGTTCTCAGACCGAAAGGCACTCAGCACACTAGATGAAGAGAGCTAGACCCAAGTACATCATCGTGAAATTTCAAAACACTGAGGTCAAAAAAAGATTCTACAATCTTCAGAAAAGGAAATCTTTCACATAAAGGATCAAGGATCAGAACAGCATCCAGCTTTTCCACAGCAATACTGTCAAAAACTGTGAAAGAAAATGATTTCCAACTTAGCCGGACTGGTGAAATGTAGGGGGAAAGACATGTCCTGATTTTCAAGAACTCAATTTACTACCATGTACTTTTTGTCAGGAAGTTACTGGAAGATGTGCTCTAATAAACTGGGGAGCAAAATAGAAAGAGGAAGACATGGGATTCATGTAGCCCAACATTAGACCAAGGAAAAAGGAACCCTGGGGACTCAGTCAAGGGCGATTCCAGAACAGCAGCATGAAGCAGCCCAGGTTCTGAAGAAGCATCTTCAAATGGGATGGACGGCAGCAAGGACATTTACACAAGCAGGGCAGTGTTTGGGATGAGTGATTGAATTATTAATTCAAAAAAAAGGAAAAGCAATTATATTCAATTAGATGGCTATGCTCTCAATAGTATTTATATAATCATATGAGTAATAAGCACTATAAACATGTTATTTAGAAATGTGGAGGCAAGCACCAACAGAAGTCTGCTAAAATAGTTGAATTATCTGTCAGGAGTAGAAAACAGAAGTACATAGGGGACTGATATTCTTTTTGCCACCAGCTAATATGCACATATATATGACTTCGATATAGAGCTTAAATTCCTCTAAGGCTTGCTGGATCAGATGTACCTGTCCAAGAGAAAAGTTTTTAAATCCACTACTCTACCAAGCCTCCCAGTGCCTCCACTCACCTAGGTGCACCCTTCCAATAATCTTCTGGGTGCCCACTCCTTTGGCGATCCCTGCCCACCGACGATCCACCAGCCTCATTATGTTACACCTTTCCGCACAAGCTTGACTCATAATAGTCATCTGGGCACCTGGAGGTGGAGGGAAATATCAGATAATAAAGACAAAACCCACATTTGTGTTAAGATTAAAAATGCAGCACTAAGAACAGGGCAAAGCAAGTACACCCCAGGCCTTTTCTCTTTTTTAACTATTTCTTTAGTTGATTTTAGAGAGAGGAAGAGAAACATCAATGAGAGAGAACCATCAATCGTCTGCCTTCTGCACACCCCATTCTGGGGATCAAGCCTGCCACAGGGACATGTGCCTGATGGGCAACTGAATCAGCCCCTTCAGGGCTACCCAAGGCTTTTATCTGTGCAACATTGTTCCTACCGAGCGGTTTCCTGCCTGGCTTAGTTCAACTTTCAGTGCCACAGTGGAAACTGAAACAGTGTAGAAACTTGACATTGAGAGAAAGAATATTTTGTTTAAATGTAATTATTAAATGATACTTAAAAACTTTACCAACAGGAAGCAAAACAACCTGAAAGGACTTCCAAAAAGTCAAAATGACTACACACAGAAATGCTCACCAAGTACTACTTCACATTCAGATGCGTTGCACAAAGCACCTCTAAACATCGCGCCAAGTTATTGTCACTCCAAATTTTGGGGCACTCTAATTTACCAGTTAAAAAATACATCATAGTCTCTCAAAAAACTGGACGTGAACTCCCTATTGTCTGCTCCAACTGTCAGACCCTCTTCCCTCTCAGGAAGCGGGCAGCGAGGGACTTTTCTCCTGCAGTGACATGTACTCAGCCACAGCTGGAGTTGGCCTGGAGGAAGACACTCTCCTAATCTTTATCTACAGTGCTAACTTCTCCCACGACTCGAGCTCCCACTCCTGTGTCAGACACTTCTATTTCAAAGCCAACAGGTATAAAACTGTTTCTCCCCAAATAATTCTCACTTTGGATTTCTCTTCCTGCCAACTGAATTGTTTTCTTGCAATAATAAAACTTAGGCATTGTTCACTTTTGACTCCTTTTAGCCTTTCCCCACTTTCAAACTCTGGTCCAATCCTGTTAATAAGTTCTGTGCAATTTCTGCTATTTCTGACGCTCCTTCTTCCAACCACAGCAGTGTGAGCGTAGCTCACACTATATCCCCCTTGCTAGTGGATGAAATCTCTGCTTTCCAAACCACTGTGGATGTATAACTTAAAGCAAGGAGCTAGTTGACCCTGAGTGGCACAGAATTCTCCAGATCTGTCACACTGCCTGCCTTCCTATCTATCACCTTCTTCCGCTCACTTAATGTATCTGCTCAAAGATCCTCAATGGCTACTATTCCTTCTAAGACCAACTTCAAACCACATCCAGCCTCAGAACCCACCCCCACCCCCCATCCGGGCCAAACCTTTTCCAGCTGCTGTAGGTTGAACGTTTCATGTTGAAACCTAATCCCCGATGCAATGATAGAAAGAGGCAGGGCCTTTGGGGGTGATTAGATCATTAGAGTGGAGGCCTCTTGAATAGGATTCGTGACCCTCACCACTTCCACCACGTGAGGACCGAGGGAGAAGACTGCCATCTATGGACTAGGAACCAGACACCAACCCTCCAGCGCCTTGATCTTGGACTTCCCAGCCTCCAGAACGATGAGAAATAAGTCTGTGTTGTTTGTAAGCCACCCAGTTTATGGTATTCGGTTATGGCAGCCCAAGCAGACTCAGACGACAGACTTATATTCCAAATGCCCTTACACCTTGTGCTTGACCAGGGGGAATGTGTTCCCTTTGCCTGTTACTCACTTTGACCCGCCCGGAGAGTGCCCCTTCCCTGCTTCCACTTTCTAATTGTGCTTATGCTTTAAGCCCAGTTCACGGCCCACCTCCTCCCCACTGACTGTCCTTTCCCTCACGATGTCTCCTCAAACTCAATCCCAACATTTTCTGTTCATGTTGCTCATTAAGGCTTCTTACACTACATGGGCACTGGAAGGTCTTGGCATCTGAAGGTTAGATTTAAGAAGGCCCAGAAATAATGAAAAAAAGGGAGTTTGGGAAGGCGATTTTCATTTACCTTCCTCCTTCCTCCCCATTTTACTCCACAAAAGCTAGTTACTGATGTACAGGAAGCAATCCCAGGATGGGAAGGGTCCCTTTTACCGCGCTCCTGCCTCTTTGCAAGCCTCAGCTCCAAGCCCCGCTCCTCTGCCCATGGAGATAGCTCAGTTCAAATGGCCTCTCTCTTGAAGCCACACCTGAGGTGAAGCATCCGTCAGTGAGAATGTCGTTTCTATATTCACCCAACATGCACCAGATTTTTGCACAGTGCTTGAGTCCTGGCACCAAACAGACCAGGGGCTGGATCCAAGATCTACTGCTCGTGAACTCTGGACACCTGGAAGAATGACTTCCCCTCTCTATGTCTAAGTTTCTTCTCCTAGAAAATAGGGGTAACAGAACGCAGTTCTTGGGGGACATGCTGAGGATTAAGTAAAAGTGAATAAACTAATATATATTAAGCACCTTAGGTAATTTAGCATGAATGAGCATGGTGCTTACCATACAGAAAGGGCTCAATAAATACTAGTGTCAGATTAGGGTCTCCTATAGGTATTTGTTACTGTGAAGCACCAGTTAGTAAGTCTTGTCCCCCGAGCACTCAGCACAAGGCCCTGTACATAGCATTCAACAGACATTTTAAAACTTGAATAATCAGCAGTTTACTTCTCCCAGGAATGTATGCATCTCAGTATAAGCTCTTTCCAATAGTTGAAACCTAGCATGTTCTCAAGTACTTGTGGATGAACAAATGGAGGAAAAATGCCTGGCCGGCGTGGCTCAGTGTTGGAGCATCGACCTGTGAACCAGGGGGTCACGGTTCAATTCCCGGTCAGGGCACATGCCCAGGTTACGGGCTCAATCCCCAGTGTGGGGTGTGCAGAAGGCAGCCGATTGGTGGTTCTCTCTCATCACTGATGTTTCTCTCTCTCTTTTTTCTCCCTTCCTCTCTGAAATCAGTAAAAATATATATATTAAAAAACAAAAAACAAAAAAACAAAACAAAACAAATGGAGGAAAAGTTAACTTGAGCAGGAGCTTTTAGTACTCTAGGAAGTCATACCGGGAAAGACCGTTGTCACACCCACATGTGGTCTCACTAAAAAAGCAAAGAGCTGTTACTAAGAGATAAGGTGACAGTTAGTACAGGGATTATCTGAATCTTCAAGTGAAAAACTCCCTGCCTCCTTTCCTGGCCGTTCTTTCTTCTTTCAGGGCAAGAACCATGCCCTGTATCCTACACTCCTCATTGCTCCTGGCACACAGATGAGGCAGAAATACTGGTTTGACCTATACTACATAGCTCCTTTAAAAAAAATTTTTTTCTTTATTGATTTCGGAGAGGGAGAGGAAGAGATAGAAACATCAATGATGAGAATCATTGATCAGCTGCCTCTTGCACGCCCCCTACTGGGGATCGAGCCTGCAACCTGGGCATGTACCTTTGGCCAGAATCAAACCCGGGACCCTTTACTCCGCAGGCCGACGCTCTATCCACTGAGCCAAATTGGCTAGGGCTACACAGCTCCTTCTTTATCAGATTCTTATCCTAAACCAAATGATTCCCCAATTCCTTAGAGGTACCCTAGAATTCAGGATGCCAAATAAGGGGCACAGGAAGATAAAGGAGACACCGAAAAGACAAAACTGGTGAAGAAATGATTAAAAAAACAAGCCTATCACAAACAAGAAAAGATGGGAAGTGAAACAACCCCCAGGTTTGCTGGCGAGCAGTCCATAGGACAAATGCCATCTTTAAGGACACCAGGGTCTCTCCTTCTTCCTGTGTCAGGTCAGAATGTTCGCTGGAGAGACAAAGATACAAAGGACGGAGACGTCACCTGAGTCAACAAAGGCTTTCACAGGATGTCCATTCACTTTGCAGTTAATATAAAGCATCACTACTTGGCCAAAACTTTCCGGAGCCTCCTCCATAGCTATGGTCATGTTTTCCTCAATGTTCTGTTGCCTGTAACAAACCAAAACCAGGGACACTAAGAGCATTACTTCCATGAAGAGAGATCTGTCTCAAAGTCACGATATTAAAACAGATCTGTGCGTTATCTTTTGTCCCAGCTATAGCAGCTGAGTCACTAAAATGGAAATTGGTACTCTACCCTGCAGTCTGTGATTTAGTAGGAGGCAGTAAGATACACAGCAGAAAATTAAAGGCAAAGAAATTACCCTCATGTAAAATGACTATGTTTGTTCCCTTTACAAGCTCAGAAACAGGAAAAGAAACTTCTGGAGAATAAGGGTCACAACCCTTTTTATCCTACAGAATGTTAAAATTTCATGAGTGCTCCAATTTTAACTGAGGACTTACTGGGTATCTGGGTACATTTCCTATGTCCAGGGCATTAAAAAATTGTTTGCAAATACAATACTGATGTCTTAACTGCTTGTTGTTGCATCTGCTGCTTAATCTCTAAGACTGGGTTTTCTAATCTGCAAAATGAGGATAATTCATTCCTATTACAGGATTGCTGAGAGGTGGAAAGCATCATTATATGATGCCAACATAAGAGCGGATGTTAAAAAAACTCAAAAAATAACCTTCTACCCACCTATCACTTAGAAAACTATACACACATATAAATCACTGTTCACCTGGTCATCAAATAATTTCTTCTAAAATTGAACATTTTAATTCTTACACGAGAAAAGCACATAAAAGGGAGTTCCAGCTTACTCTAGCATCTCATGTCTCCTCCATTCCCAACCTCCTTTAAAAAAAAATAACCAAAAAGGACCAACATTAATGGAAACTAGGGCAGGGGCTAGGCCACTTACTTGAAGACAGTAACAAAACAAGGTCCAAGGTTTGGACAAGTCACACTGTAAACCAGGCATTAGAAAACTACAGCCGGGTTCATTTACATCCCGGCATTATCTCTGGCTGTACCTTACCGCCCTGGCAGAACTGAGCACCCGCCATACAGATAGTGTGGCCTGCAATGCCTCAACTATTTACTATTTGGCCCTTAATGGGTAAAGTGTACTGACGCCTGCTCTAAACTGTCCTTTCTGTAGTAACACTTTAGCTCAACTGAACTGATGGTTTTATCAGCCATTCTCTATTGGAATATTAAATTTCTCAGAAAACCAAAGGCACACTCCTTTAACTTAGGCCAGTGGGTCTGAGCCTTGGCCGCACATTAGAATCACCTGGAAATCTTTTTAAAATCCTGATTTCTGGGCCTCATCCTCCAGAAATTGTTTCTTTGTTACTA